TCAGAGTCACGCTCGTAGGCATGTGTGTAAGCCTGGGCCCACGGACCCAGGATGGCAACTATTGAGTGAATATACCCCATGAGTTTGTGAAAGGTCGGTCTGTGAATTTAGCATAGAGTTTGGCAAGTCCATTTCCCAGGAAAAACTGATCGCCAAGCTAGAGGCCCGCAGGGAAATGATCTGGACCAAAAGAGCGGGGATTAAATCCAGGACTGGAAACAGTACCAGGCTAGCGAAATTGATCCAGGGGGGCCTAGAGCCCAGACTGTGTACCCAAACAGGCCTCCCGGCTTGTGCCTGGGATCTCCAACAGTAAGTTGTCCACCTGGAGCACAGCCTCTGTGGCTGTGTCCAGAGTGGCTCTGGGGACCAGTGATTTCAGATACATGGTGAAAATCAGCATTTCTACCCACCAGCACTTGCCCTGAAGACAGAACTGGATAGAAGAAGGAGTTGCCGTAGACACGGGATTAGAGACACAACCAAAAACAAGAGAGTGATGGAGTATCCATACCGCCCCCCTGCTGATTCTTTCCAGCCTTGGGTACCAACCACATCACATGATTAAAAACACTATGGACTGTATGATGGGTGGGGTGGGGGGGCTTGCTCTCGGGCTCTGAGTTGATCCATCCCCAGCCCTGTGAGGCTCTGGCTCCCCACCAGCCTCTGTGATGTCCCATTGGCTAGCATGCCTGACCTCTACTCTCTACAGGGCCTGACCCACTCACTGGAGGCACATCTTTGTCCTTATTAGGATCCCCTAATATTCTTGGAATGACAACAGACATGACTTGTATGATGTAAAAGACCATTAGTTTTGTGAAAGACCAGAAAAGACCCCGGGGTTTCATCACTCCCGGAAGGGTGGGAGGTTTATATGGTTCCCAGACCAGACCTGCCCACAGACAGCAAGTGGACACGGATGGAGAACCCGGGATAGACGGTCTCCTAGGAGACTGTGGAGGACACAGGTGGGCAGGAAAGGGTCCTTGTGCCTCGGCCCCACACAAGTGCACACACACTCTCCCCTCCCACCTCCTAGTCCCCCAGTTTGATAGGCCGCCATGAATCCCAGCTCCGTAGCATCTAGAGTTGCCGTTAGCCCCTGGCATTCGGGGTTTCTGTTTCATCCCCCTCTTTATTTGGGTCCTTGAACTGATTGTACTCTCAGCTCTGGTTCACTAATTCTTGCAAATCCTTTAAAACTATTGCTCTATTTGCTGGAATGGTGACTGTCGGGACGCTTTGGAAATGACAGCTCGCACCAAAGCAGATGGAAGAGACCCGTGGAAGGATTTCCCTTTTCCCCCTGTCTCCCCTCTGCCTGCCCTCGCCTCATCCCTGAGCCAGTATTGACAGCTGCCCTCTTACTGGAATGGGTGACTGGCTTTCCAAAACCCGACTGACCAGATGCTTGAGGAACTAGATCCCCAGGAAGAATCTAACAAAATGAAGTTTTGTGGGACATAGCTTGTGAATTTAAACTCCGAGGCTGGGTCCCTGACTGTTAAGACTATTTGTCCCTTATGTGAGGACACCACTTCCTCATCCAGGTCACTGTCATTTTTCAGTTTCCAACCTACTCTTGAGGTCTGCATTGGGAGCAGACCCCTGGAGACCTTCATGCACCCCTCTCAATACCCCACATCCAGCTTATGTCGGAATCTAGGAGACAGGCAGGTGAGGGGACTGAGGAGCCAGCCCCTCTGGGAATGCAGGGTCTTGAAAGGGAAGCAGGGCTCTCACAGGCCTCCCCTCCCCAGCCACTGTGTCCTAGACAGAGGAAACAGGTCACATAATGGCCTATGTCCACACAAGGGCTGTGCTGTACTGGAGGATGTGGTGGCTGTACCAGCTCTCCACTGTGCTTTGGAAGAAGACATTTCAGGTTTATATGTGCCAGCGAAGGAGACAGTCGTCAGGGTCTCCTCAACCCCCTGAAACCAAGCTCCACACGGAATCCGGAAGTCCTCTGACGGCTTCCCCGAGAGTCCCCTTCTATAGCCTCCAGTCCAGGCCTCTCCCTCACAGCTCACTAGTGTTGCTGGAAGATGCTCCATCTCTCCAGATGGATAGCTTCCAGACCCCCGACTCTCTGTGCCCAAGGCCATCTACGTAACTTTTCTCAATTCCATCTCTAGACTTAACATCTATGGGTTTCTGGGGACTGTAAAGATGATGCGTGGTTGCCGCTCTTGCAGAGGACCCGAGTTCAGCTCACAACACCCAAAGTTGGTTGGTTCACAACCACCTGTACCTCCAGCACCAGAAGATGGGACACAGTCTTCTGGACTCATGAGACACCTGCGCTCTTGTATGTACACACACACACACGCATTTAAAGATTTGTAGGTTCCTTACCATAGCTTATTTAACCTTTCCTGGTGACGTCAACCTGTACAAGTAGCCTCATTTCTTACCATCCCCTTCCCCAGTTGTCCATACTTAGACTATAGAAATGCAAGGCCCTGAGCTTTTGCATGTGTAGGTTGCCTAGAACCTTCCCTCTCTGTAATATGTTCCACTCTGAAGGCCAATCTAAGCCTCCCATTCCCTGTGACTGTTGCACATCCATGTGCATACCTGTGCTCTTCCAGCATCCATAGACCCTGCAATAAGTTGCAATAATGACTGGCATGTCTGCATTCAGGAGCCTGGGATATCAGCCATGGAATCCATCTCTAACAAAATCACAGGGAAGGTATTGGCTGGAGCCCAGGAGCTGGGCTGGAGATTGGTTGGGGGCAAGAAATAGAGGCCACAGAGCCAGATCAACCACAATTCCAGTCCTTTGGGGACTCTGGGCATTCTCATCATGGAAAGTAGATTCCTTTTCCTCCAGGACCTGGCCCAGAGCTGGCCCCGTGAACGCACCTCAGGCCACAGTGAGTCAGTGGATGCAATGCATCATCCCAGGGCTGTAGGCATTCTAGGCACTGAGCTACACTGTCACCCTGCCTCCTGTACTTTTAAGGCTCCATTGGTGACATAGAAGTTACACCTTCGCTTGCTGACCGGCCTTCCCTAGGTCACCTGCACATGAAAGCCACCAGTGACCTTGGTGTCTCCCAGGATAGCATGGGCTCTTTCAAACCTTGGGGCTTTCTCAACTTGCACCCCAGCCAGCTGGGGCAATCCCTGTGAGTCTTTCTTAGACAAGCACCCTGCTTCGGTACCTCTTGGGTTCCCCGGGCAGAACCGGGCATTCCTTCCTCTGCTCAGTTCTTATCCCCATTGGCATAGCTGTATCAGTGTGTCTCCCAGTAAACCTTGCACTGCCCCTGGGCTGCATGTGTGTTCATTCATACGTGTCCCTGGCGGGCCCCCAGTACCCGCGGCATCCAGCGCACAGAAAACATGTTTCAGGAATACATCAGTGGGTATGGGTGCCACCCCCAGTTCCTGGAACTCGGGGAGTCAGTCAGCCTCTGAAGTCCTATCCCCCAGTCTCATTCCCAGCCTCGGGTGTGTTAGGTTGTTCCAGGCCGCTCCCTAACCACATTAGCTAGCTAGCTCTCTATCTGGACTACCCGGTATGTGTAACTCTCCAAGGTTCTGAACTTGGTTCTTGGCGCCAAGTAACTGTCATGACTTAACTTCAGCCTCCGCCCCCACCCCACCCCCCCAGTGAAGAACTTTTTCCCCCCACTTCCCAAAAGCCTAGCCCCATTGTGGGAAAGAAACAGAACCGCTGATAAATACACTGTAGGTCCAAACGTTTCATAAAGACAAGAGCATTTATGAGAACACAAGAGTGAGGTCCCTACCCCCACTCAACTTAATCCCTGGGACCATATGAGTCTCACCCCTTGTCATTACAACCTGTCATTCAAGACACCACTTGCCCTTGCTGCCAAGCTGTATTCTTAGATCATATAAAGATGATAGGGACTCCTTTCTCCCCTAAATGTCACTGGCTGCCACTCGCCCCGTCCACACCCTCCATGCCGGCTTCCAATGGCCCCATAGCCTCCCGATGTCCTTCCTACTTTGGCTCATCCACCTTCCAGAAGAAAAAGGAACCAAATAAAAGCATCTTTAGCCAGGTGGTGGTGCACACCTTTAATCCTAGCACTCAGGAGGCAGAGGTAGGCAGATCTCTGAGTCCAAGGCCAGCCTGGTCTCAGAGTGAATTGCAGGACAGGGTTTCTCTGAGTAGCCTTGGCTATCTCAAAAAACCAAGGAGAAGGAAGGGAGAGAGAGAATCTTTAGTGAAGGCGATAAGGTCTAACCACTGCTAATGTTGACCTAGCCAGGCACTTCTCTGATTGCAGCCCCAAGGATAGCCCAGTAGCCTTCCTTGCTTATCCAGAGGTTACCTTACCACCCTGCGGTGGAAACCACCATCTGGCCAGGTTCCTTGGGCTGGATCTGGGTTATGACATTTGTGGTGGTTTGAATGAGAAACGTCTTCCGTAGGCTCATGTGTTTGAACATGTGCTCCCCCGGTTAGTGGTGCTGCTGAGAATAGAATGGAAACCTCCGGAGGTAGAAATTTGCTGGTGGAAGTATGTCACTGGAGGTGCTCTTTAAGGTTTTATAGCCTGGCCACACTTCCTGTTCCCTCTCGCTCTCTGCTTCAGTCTGCTTCCTGATGGCCATCTTGACACCACGTTCCCACTGCCATACTTGTCCACCATGATGGATTATAACCCCTCTGAAAAGCTTTTGACTCTACACCACTTTACCCTTACCCTCCCCTAATTCCCCAAATGATCCCCTCGGGCATGATCTGTTGATTCATGCAATTGGTTATTTTGGATTACATTTGGGTAACCCTTACCATCCTGGTGGCTAGAACCTAGAGTGTTAAAAGGACCACTTTTCTCTAGCCACTCTGTGTCAAGGTCACAGCTGCTGCTCAGTGTCAGCCGAGTGAGTTGGTCATTTAAGGTTCTTCTAGACAACTGCACCTCAGCAGAGTAATTCAGTCTCTTCCCAGAGATCTAAATCCTGAATGGGGCTGGGCTTTAGCAATGACAGACCACCCTTCAAATTGTGGGTTTGCCACTGTTGTTATTAGCATTGATGTCTCCTAGGCTTAGAGAGGGCTTGACTTCTACAATGGGTCCATCTGCTTCTACACAGCTGGATCTTTTGACTAGTTCCGTTGAATTGTGTTTAAGGATGTTCTGATCACTTCCCACACCTCCCTGTGTGTTCTGTAGCCCACTTGAATTCAGATCACAAAAGAAAGTAGGGGTGTGTGGGTGTGTGTGGGTGTATGCGCGCACGCACATGCATGTGTGCACACAACATGATGCCATGTACTCCAGGGTTAAAGAGACTAGCCTGGGGGAGGAGATGGGTAGACAATAGAGTCCTCTGGAAGGAGGCAACTCAAGATCTCTACCTGATACCGAGGTACCAGCAAAGTCTCTTGGGACCACAGGAGAGGGCAAAGCATGATGTGACTGAGGGAACTCTGTGAGACTCCTTAGAGGATGCTGCATAAAGCTGAGGCTTAAGGAACTTGTAGACCCTAAGTGTAAGAGATGATTTGGTCAAAAGAGCAGGAAGTGCTGGGCATACACTGAGAGGGTGGAGACAGAGATGATAAAGCTGTAAATAAAAGAACAGACCCTGGAAGGCTCTGTGAGTCCACAGAGCGGAGTTAACAGTAAGGACCTCCCGCAGAGGAGGAAAGGGCCCTTATGGTAGCAGACTGTAGTGCCTCGGTGGTGACATCACGTTTTCCCCAGGCACAAACTGGCAAACCCTGGGCGATCCCTGGGCCTGGGGATAAGAACACCGGCCCTGGGGCAAGATGGGGGATGCTTCCGCTCATTTTGTGAAGACTTCAAAGCAGCTGTAAGGAGAGCTGGCTCCAAGTACTTCGTGGATGGCGTGGCGATACGAAGCACCCACTGAGGGGGCTGTGTGTGCAAAGTCCTCCTTTGTCCCCACAATGTCAGCTCTCATCCAGCTTCTGCACTCCCAGATGAATTACCCTCTGGACATGCATGACAGTCTTCCCTGGGCTTTCCCGGTGTATTTCCCAACTGCTCTGAGTTTATAATGTTTTCGGGTCCTTTATCATATATGTGCCATAAATGCCAATGGAACCAGGAGCATTTATCACCTAGCTGGGTTCCTGCTTGAGCTCTGAAAAAAAAAAAAAAATTATTCGGTTGCACCACCTTTCTTGGGGCTCTGATTTAATGGACTTCTCTGCTGCAAAGCCACTGGAATTCTTTGCCTTTTAATATCTGACACCCCTTTCTCTTTATTCCTGCCTTGGACAGCCCTTCTAGACCGGCTGGAACGAGCCCATTAGTCTCTGACAAATAACTTGTGTCATTTGGTGAAAAATATGCAGAGGTTTGGCTACAGCATCCTCGCCGGTCTTGGTTCTGTGGTCTCATTCTCCTCTAGACAAGCACGCAGCTCCAGACAGACCCCTCTTGGCATTCCCCAGTCCCTCTCATGCCCTGCAAAGCTAGGTCTAATGGGATTGTTTCACCTCAACCAATTATAACGGAGCTGAAGGCTGGGGTGGCTCGAGATACCTGTAACTGTATGGAAGAAGCAGGATCGGTCACAACGGCTGAAAAGCATCTCCTCACATATGAATGGGTTCTTAAATGGTATATTCTTACCATCGGATGGAAGTCAGGGGGAAATTCTGACACAAGGCACAGTGTGGACAGACCTTGAAGGCGCTCAAGTGAAATAAGCCAATTCCAGGCGGGACAAATGTGTATGTTTTCACTTATAGGACATCTCCAGGGAAGTCAGTCACAGAGACAGGAAGTAGGCAGGGACCGGGAGAAGGCGGCTAAGTAGGGTTATGGTTTCATGGATATACAGTTCCAATTTGGAAAGGGTTCCTAGAAATGAGTTGTAAAACAGTGTATGTATACTTATCACCACTAAACTGCACACATAAGAGCTGGGCACAATGGAATGTCTACACAATTTTTTTTTTTTAAATTAACCTCATACCAAACTAACAGGGAAAACTGACACAGGCCAGTTCTGAGCTCGTGAGTCCATTTATTCCTGCCTTCCAGATCAAGTGGCTCTTGCCAGCTAAACCAGCAATTCTTAAAACACCCTGGCTTAAAAAGGAAACTTGCTTATTTAGATTGTGGTTCTGGCTAGGCAATTTGAGGGTTAGGTCAGGCTGCTATGGCAGAGGCCGGCCAGTCTACATGACACTCTGGGATGGCTCATCTCCATACCATGCTGTCTGTCTCTCATCCTCCAACAGGCCACCCCCAGTTTGTGTGAGGTAATGGCAGGGATCTCCAGAGGTAACAAAAGCAAATGGATCCCCTTGAGGCTGTACACCCATATGTAGCTGGAGAATTTCTCTCCGGGTCCCGCCAAACCCCAGCCCACTTATAAAATAAACACACAGACGCTTATATTATTTAAACTGCTTAGCCTAATGGCTCAGACTTCTAGCTATCTAGTTCTTACATCTTAAATTAATCCATTTCTATAAATCTATACCTTGCCATGTGGCTCGTGGCTCACCGGCATCTTCACATGCTGCTTGTCATGACGGCGGCTGGAAGTGTCTCCCTCCACTTTCCTGTTGTCTCAATTTTCCTGTTAGTCCCGCCTATACTTCCTGCCTGGCCGCTGGCCAATCAGTGTTTTATTTATTGACCAATCAGAGCAATTTAACATACAGACCATCCCACAGCACCCATATGAGGTCCTTTCTACTTCACTCTATATAGGTCCGAAGCAAAGCATAAGACCAGCCATGATTCAAAGGGTGGGAAAAGACCTCTGCCTCTTGACAGCAGAGAATTTTTGCAACTTACTATGTGGGTTACACACATGTCAGGCCCTGAGCTGAGTGTTGCAGGTTAAGAAAAACACACACACACACACATACACACACAATGTCTGATGCAAGAGGCAGACGTGTAAATAAATAATTACAAGGCATAGTGTAATTATATATATATATATATATATATATACTTGGGATGTTTTGAAAGCATGCATAAAGAGGCAGAGGGCAAGAGCTATAGGAAGAAGAGGCAAGGAGGCCTGGGACCAGATGCTATCAGGACTGGCATGGAAAGCCCATGGTGATCAGCCAGATGAGGAAGGACTTGGGCAGAGAGGAACACGTTTGGAAGCCAGGTACTGCCTGGGGTACGGGGAGGGGACGTCACTAGAAAGTAAAGGAACATGGAGAAGCTGGGGCCCAATGACACTTGACTCCGTCTGCTCACCTTTGAAGGGGTCATTTAACCAGAGGCCTGTGGCTGTCCGCTGTGTGGAGCCACAGCGTAGAGGTGGCTTGGAAGGAGGCTGGCTGGAAACTGGGAAGTACTCTCTGGTCATGTGCTTTCTGCCAGGTAGCCTCAGTGGGAGAAGAACCCCTGATGGGGCAGGGAGAGCAAGGTACAGGGCAGCCAGTTCTGTAAGCATAGGGGTGAGGCATCCCACTCAAAACCAAGATGACCTGGAAATGCCCCCAAATGCCAGCCAGCAGGAATGGAAGCCAACGCTATGGCCCTCCACGTGGGCTCAGACTATCAGCCCCCCTCACTCATGTGGTACCACTGAGTCTTTAACAGGGGAGAACCCAAGGCTCTTCAGCCCAACCTGAATCTCATAGGTGCTGCCGAGAGCCCTGAAAACCCAGCCTTTGATCCGGGTTTCACGCAAATCCCACAGCCCTTCCCATACCAGGCCCAGCTTTTTGGACTGTTTCCAAGAGCCACCTCAAAAATCCAGGAGGGTTATGTGGCTGTGAGACAAGGGTGACGAAGTCAAGCAGCTTTCACCCAGGCCAGCAGGTCCTGTCTTCCTCCTGTGGATTCAGGGGGTGCTTCTGACAAGGATAGACTGTGATGCCCACCCTCCCCGCCGGCAACTCTGCAGGCAGTGGCAAGCACATACCAACTGATCAATACTTGGAATGCACGGGGCCTGCTGTGAAAAGGAATCCCCTGGTGAGCACTTTCATAAATTGAAAAATTCTTTGGGAAGTGAATAATCGTCCCCAACTATTAAATCAGATTTCTGAAAAGGTAGAGCTGCAGAGCACAGAAAACGCGTGTGCAGATCGGTGCCGCCTGAATCCCAGACACCTGCCCGATCTGGACCGGGACTTGGGATTCCTGGTGCAGCCAGTGTTGCTGCTGGGACTAGGGATATGGCTAGAGTCTTGACCTGTAGGGAAAAACCTTTGAAAACATCAGAACACAGCAGGTCCAGGAATGGAATGTTGGCCTGGCACTCCCTAACTCCATAAGCACACGGGGCTGAATCTGCTTCCTGACACAGTATGATGACCAGGGAGCCACAGAGCTACTAATTGGAG